CTTTGAAGTGGAGCACCAGGCAGCTCAACACCCCCACACTGGTCCTGCCTATTTATTGGCTTTAACTCAGGCTTCTTTACTGAGGCGTGTTATGATACCTTGAGTACCAGATTTCTTATAACTGCCTTTTAAATCCCTTTTACAATATAACAACCAAACAGCACGTGCTTAACGATCCATCAACTATTTTCCAACAGTTTCTAAGCTATTTTTAGCAGCCACCACACACAGAGTGTCCCCAAGCTCTTGGTTTTCCTTTCCCGTTTTTCCCCCGTTCCCGAGGATGCTCCAGCAGCCGCTGTCCCCCAGCACAGCCCTGTGTCCCCTTTGTCCCCTTCCTGTTCCCAGCACAAACACATCTCCTGCTCCCTGCTCCATCCCTGCCCACAGCCCAAGATCACGTCCCGCCCTCCCTGTCTTGTTTCAGAGGGTTTGAGGTTGTTGGAGATATTTTTGGAAGATAAGGCATTGCCAGGTCTCCCGGGAATCTCCTGTCCCCGAGTCAACCAGCACAGAGAAATTGGTTTTCCCAAATCCAGCAACCTCCTCCTGTGGAAACATTAATAAAACCAAAGCTTGGCTTTTCTGCTGGGTCTGAGGTTCAAGAAATTCCATTAAACCTGGGTTTAGGTTCAGTTTTATACCATCCATGTGAAACTAGGGGGGGAAAAAGGAGTAAAATCTCCATTCATTTTTTCACTTTACTACTCCCTAGGGGTAAGTATATATAATTATAAATAATTATATATAAAATAAATAATAAATTAAATAATAAATAATAAATAAAATGATAAAACCAAACAATATATAATAATAAAATAAACAATATATAATGATAAAATAATTCCATTTTGCTCTGTCTGCTGGCACAATGCCCCTTCCTGATCGTCACCAACCCACACTGTCCCCACATCCCAGGGGACACCTGGCAGGGATGAGCACCCTCAGCACCCTGGAGGTGTCAGCACTGTCCCCCCATGCCAGCAGCAGCTGCAGGTCCCAGCTCTGCTTTGGTGCTTCTGGGCTGAAATGATGGCAGAGAATCCTGAAGGAATAAACTGGATTTTTTCCAGACTCGTGGCCTTTTGCTTGGAGAAATATTGTGACTCAAAAATCTGAAAGTGAGCAGTTTAATGTTCAAAAAAAAAAAGAAAAAAAAAAAGAAAAAAAGAGGACCTGGGGAGGATGGCCAAGAATAACCCTGTCCCTGATCACCCCCACGTGCTGCCTCTGCAATTCCCCGAGGGTTTGCTGAGGAGGAGCTGAGGGTGGGAGCAAAGGGACCTGGAGCAGCTTCCAAATGGAGCAAAACTCTGAAGGATTTCACCTCAGCTGGTCCAGCTGATGGGAAAGGGAAGATTTTTACAGGTGTGGGCTGGACTTGAACAGGTTTCACCATCCTGGGATTCTCTGGGATGCAGGGATGGAATTTCCCCCTGCCACAGTCCCCACCACCTGCAAGGACCCTGCTGTGCAGATGATGCTTCCAAAATATCCAAATATTCCAATAATTTCAAACCATCCAGAAGGACAAACAGACCCAAACTGTGGAGGATGCAAAGGAGTGCAGACAAGGAGGTCTCTGAGCTGTCATCAGTGTGAGATTCCTGGCTAAACACATTTCCCTGCTGGCTCTGAGTGGATTTATCCCACCAAGATCTCCAAGACAGCAACCCTGTGCTCCCAAGTGCTTCTGGGCACAGCTGGGCACGCAGAGCAGCACTGACAGATGGGATTGCCCTTCCTTTGGGCCATTCCATTCCATTCCATTCCATTCCATTCCATTCCGTTCCCCACAGCACTTCCCTGCCTTCTGCCTGGCAATGATTTGCTGCAGTAGCTGCGGCTGCTCCTCCTAGACGGAAACAAAACCACTTAATTGAGTGCTAATTAGGGCACTTAATCACTCCCAAACTCAGCCCCTGCTGAACTCCACCTGCGATCTCACGGGCACACAAAAAGTTCAGCTGCATTTGGCCTCAGCCTCCCATGAGCCCCAGATTCAGTTCAGCTCTTGATGGCTTGGCCCTGCTAATTCCAGGCCTTAAATCCGAGTAAATGTCTCTTTTCTGCATCAAAATTCCTCACACAACAGGTTCTGCTAAAGCAGCTCACTCCATTTAAAAACCACCTGGAAAACAAAATGAATTCTGGTAGGTCTGGGATGTTCCCGACCCCAAAGAGCTCCCAAACCCCATCCTCGCCCTTCTGCCCTCCCCTCACTCTGCCTGGGACTTGGAAATCACCAGGGAAAGCCCAGCTGGGACTAACTGAATGTTTTTAATTGATTTTACACGAGCTGAAGTGTTGTAACCACTGCAGTGTTTTGTATTTGTGTTTGTTATTTGTATTTGGGAGCTTTTAAAACAACTGACAACCACTAATGCACTCATTATTAGCAACTCAAATATTTAACAGCTGCTGCTGCTGCTGTGTAATTAATTCATCCTTCCTTCTCCTGCGGGTGCAGAAACATCCCCCACACTGCAGCAGATCCAAACATCCCACGAGGGAGGGGAGGGGTTGGAAGGGACCTTAAGGATGATCCCAATCCATGGCAGGGATGGGGATGGGCTGCTCCAAATCCCATCCAGCCTGGCCTTGGGCACTGCCAGGGATCCAGTGCAGCTGTGCCAGGCCTGCCACCCTCCCAGGGAGGAATTCCTGATTCCCAAAATCCCACCTGAAGTGCCCCAGTGTCACTTTGAGGCCGTTCATTCTGCCACAAACGCTGTGCAAAGATCAAAGCATTTCCCTTTGCAGCTTTGGCTGCAGAGCACAAGGACAGGATGACCCTGGCACCACCCCAGGGCCACTGCTTTGTGTCTAACCCTCCCCTGCTCCATCCCTAACCCTCCCCTGCTCCATCCCTAACCTTCCCCTGCTCCATCCCCAACCTTCCCCTGCTCCATCCCCAACCCTCCCCTGCTCCATCCCCAACCCTCCCTACCCTGATCTCTCCCTCCAGACACCTCATCCCCCCGGATCCTGCAGAGATGCCCCAGCCGGGCCGGGTTTGCAGGAGCAGCAGCAGCCCCGAGGTTAATTAAGTGAGAGCCAGCAGCACTTCACACATTGGGAATTAATTACATTTCAGGGATTGCTTCCTTTTGCTAAATGCCTGACTCGTCTCAGGGGCTTTTGTCAGTCCATTTTCTTTCTTGTACCAATCAAATAGGATTTGTTTAAAGTATCTCCTAAATAAGCTGGCATAGGGACTTTTAAAAGCTCCTGCTGGTACCCAGAACGTGCTGAGCACCACCAGCAGGTCAGAGAGCATCTCTGGGCTGCAGAGCCAAGGGCAGAGCCTCTCCACAAAAGTGGAATGTGAAGAAAAAGATCATTTAATAGAGAAATAATAACCATGGGATGGTCTCCACCCTCAGTCCAGTAGAGGGTCTGGAGAAAAGCTGCAGGGACCAACCCAGCTCCCAAACCCCAGCTCCCAAACCCCAGCTCCATCACTCCTGCCCTGGTGGCTCAAACCAGCTCAAACCACTTTGCTTTCAGCCCTTCTGGGTTTGGTTGTTTTCTCCCAATTTCCAGGGAATGCTCTTCCTGCAAGTCCAGCTCATGTTCACTGCAGTTAAAAGTAGCTCACTTATTTATTTCCTGCTGAGGTGTGACCCAGCAGGACAGGGGCCAGACAGCATTTGGGATTTACAACCTGGTTTTACAGAGCAGCTGCCATCTTCCCATCTCCCCTGCTCCCACTGCATTGTATTCCCATAAATTCCTACTCACAGGATCCCATTTTCCTGTGCTAAGGTGAACTGCAGTGAACCACAACAAAATGAAAACCTGTCCTGCAATGAACCTCAACAGCTCCAAGCACAGGCTCCTGGTTTTGCCTTTAAATGTCTCTGTTCCAGATCAGTCAGAAGATATTTGCAACAAAATCTCAGGGAGCACAACAGGGGGGGAAGAGGGAGCAGAAATCCCAGGGAAGGCAGGAGCAGAGCTCCAGGGTGATGGGGGAAGGAGGAACAGAGGCCCTGGGTAACCTCTCCCTGCTGCACCAGCACAGCAGTTCCAATCTCTGACACTGAATGAATTATTCAGCTCTCCTGCTCTGACCCATTCCTGCACAGGTTACAGGGATGCAAACACAGCAGGATCAGGATCCTCAGCCAGGCAGCAGGCTGGGAGAGGTTAAGGAGTGAAATTCAAGGAAAAACCTCTGGGTGCTGTGGGTTTGATCATAATGACCTTTATTGGAGACAGGTGGGGTCATTTATTATACAGAAGTAACATCACACCATTCTCTTCCCATTTAATTCCTTTTAGTCTCCTTATAAATCTGTAGCAAAAGTGCACTTTGAGCAGTTTTTAATCTATAGTATATATCTTTCAATATTATCTCTCAGTCAGGTATTTTATTTGTAAAAAGGTATCACCAGATATACAAAATACATGTCTAGTGTACTACATTACTTTTTGTATTTACTGTTTAGATTATTTTTAACTCAGTGCTCTCTTTTTTTTTTCATTTTTTGCAAGACTCAGTGATGAGAGTCTTCTGGTGGCATCACCAGGAGAGGACTCACAGCTTGTGTGTGGAGAAGGGGAGAAGACTCTTAGCCAGGAACAATTGTCACACAACATAACAAGATGACAAGAACATTTGCTGCTGTTGAATGTGTCTCTTAAAATGACAGTACTCTGTATAATAAAAAAGAATTAAAAAACCCAATGTCCGTATTTTATCTTCTGGAAGAGATGTGCCAGGAGAACGGAAGCTGCACCCAGCTGGAATACAATGGCAAAGGTTCATTTGCATTTTGAAGGCAGGAGTTAATTGCTAAACATCACCTTTGTGGTCATGAGAGGAAGGAACAGACACAGGCAGCACGAGGAGCTGGGAGATGCTGCTTTCCTGAGGACAGTGTTTTGGTAAAATACTGAATATCCTGCACAAGCCACAGAATTGCATAAGTTAAAGATCCTCAAGAACAACAAGCACTGGGGACAGATGAGGGGCTGTGACAGCCACACTCAGGGACCCAGCAGGACACATTCCCACTGGGAGGCTGGAGCCAGCTGTGACAGGCTTTGGCACAGCAACAGCACTTCTCCAAAAGAAACTTGCACAAGATTTTCTGAGATTTCTCACCAACTTCTTTAGTCTTTTCTTCCTAGTTATCCTTGAGATTAGAATATACACACATAACAGATAATTGCTTCATTTCAGTCTTCAACAGACCAACCATCTCCCCTGGGAAGCAAGGCCTAGAGAGGTAAAACAATCAGAAGCATTTTAGGGGGGTTATGATTCCCAGATGGAGAAAAACATCACCAGCAATGGCTCAACACTGACCAGGTCATGTCTGCTGGGTTGGTTGGTTTTCCTTCTCACTGTTCATCACCCTGAAGACTCAGAACTCCTGGATTAGTTCCCTAAACACCTTCCCTTGGCCAACCCTTCCCAACTGGTGCTGTTTCTGTGGATTAGCATAGATTCAAAATGCAACTTGCATCAGTTTGCTTGGAATTGAGTGAAATGTGGAACAGATCCTGCTTCAGAATGAGGGCACTTTTGGTTTATGCAACAGCTCCAAGAAAGGCTGGAATTCCCAACTTTTCTACAGCAGAGATGGTCTTTGACAGCTCAGGGCTGCTCTGCTCCCCTGGAACCTGCAGCAACTGGAGGCAAAGCTGCTGCTTGCAAAGGAAAATGCACAGCAGCAGAGGCTGGCTGTGGAGACACCTCTCTGCCTTCTGCAGGAGGAACAGAACAGCACAAAGAAGAGTACAAAAAGAAGCAGTGCTGTTAGTGTTCTCTAAACCCAAGAGAATGCACAATGGAGAGGTTTACAATGCTGCAGAGAGAAGGGTTTGTCTGCTTTTTCTTTATAAAAATTACAGACTTGACATTTCCAATATGTCTTAGCTTTGTACTGCTTCTCAAGTCTGAGTCACCAAAAATATCCAGCAAGCAGCTGCTGCTCATATCCTAAAATATGCCTTCAGCTGACACTGAATATTGAAATCATTCTGCTAAAATACAGAAAAACGATGGCAGAAACCAAGGTATAGCCTCAGGCCAACTTTCAATGGTAAAAATCCTACAATGCTACTTTGAAATCTCTTCTTGAGTTCATGAACAAATAAGCAGCCGGGTTTCAAGTAGAGGTAACACAGATTTTGGAAGATAGCACGTAAAAAAAAAAAAAAAAACCCAAAAAAAGCCCAGAAAGAAAACTGGAACAAAAGCTCTTCTTGTTAGGGCAGTTCAGCACTAATCCTCCACAGGGGTAGGAGGGAGCTCTGCCCTCCCCTGGGTCTGTCCTGGTCCTACAGCACCACGAGGAGCTGCTCTGCTGGCACACACAGCGTCCACCTGGACAAAGCTTGATCCCTTGTTCCTTGTGTCCATCCTTTGTGTCTCCTGTCAGTCCCTGGACTGGTAGAACAGGATATATCCAGACTCAGAGTTTTTGGAAATGTCTGATGTTAACCCATAGAATTCTTCAATGGCCTGGGCGTCAATTTTCTGAAAATGAATGGAAGTTTTAATTAGCTTCAATCATATCACCACCCTAAAAGCCTCTTCCCAGATAAACCATTATTCCCAGCTGTGGTGACATGGTGACACTCCAACATCATTCAATCCAACAAAACATTTTTCCCACTTAATAACTTACTGACTACTGAAAAAAACAGGAAATGAGGATGAAATAGTAAACTTCTCAGAAGGGGTGCAGTCCTAAGCTGGACTACAAAAACAAGTGATCCATGAAAATGGATCCTTAAAGGACTACATGACATTTTTATATTTGCTTTTCTCATGCTGGTGCTACCTTGCCTGAGTATTTTATAATTAAATTATTTTATAATTTAAAAAAAAATCAGTCACTAATCAGGCAAGAAGGTTTTTGTACAGATGTGCAGATTGAAAATTTAGCTAAAATAAGTCCAGGTTTCAAAGTTATTGTGACCCCTTTAAGGAGAAAAGTCCTGTAAATGCTTCATGAGCTCTGTGGATCTCATCTAATTATGGTTTTTGGTCATAAAAGAGCTTTCCTACCAAGCAAAGCCTGGAGCATTATCACAAGGTTTGTGTCTTAAGAAAAATTATGATTTGCTGTACTAATAGAATTAAAATCTGCTTGTATTTCAAGTTGGGATTATGTGCAGAAAAGCTGCTTTGCTCTCATACTCCAAGCAGCAACTGGAGGGAATTTTAGAGGGTTTTTAAAGATGTTGTGGTTCAGGTCCTAAGCACAACTGGCTTCCCATCAGTGAGCATAAATAAATAATAAAACATTCCCAGGCACCTGTGCTGCTCAGCACTCCACTGGGATGGAGTTTTTTAATCCCTTTAGGACTCTGGATGCACAGAAATGAGAGGCTGAGGAGGAGATGAGCCTCAAGTTTCCTTTTACTCCCAAGGAACAAAGCTGAGGAAGTAAAGAAATGTTGCAAACACAAGAAGCTCTGGGTTGAACACCTGCCCTGCTCAGGAGGAGCAGAGACCAACCTGTGATTACACCTTAAAAGAAAAGCAAATAATAAAAAAGAAAGCTGCAGAAGCCACTTGGAGAAGGGGAGATCTCTGCTCCCTGAGCAGATTTTGGCATCACCACGAGCTCAGCAGCACTGCCAAACAGCACTGAGCTGGGAGCAGCCTTTTCCCAGCACAAAAAAAGCAGACAGGAGTTTTCAGAGGATGCATCAACTGCAGAAATTCTCTCTTGAAGGGCTTTGTTAAACACATTCTCTTAAAAAATTAGATGGGAAATAAACCCCCCAAACAGATTTTTGTCTTTTCTCCATTCAAGGAGTGAGGGGAAGCTGAAATCCCCTGCTGAGGCTGCTGCATTTTCACACCATTTATTAACATAACGTTACTACAGGCTGTTAGAGGCACATTTTAACAGAAATCTAGTGAAAGAACACTCCTCTGCTCCTGCAGTATATTTAGCAGACAAGTCAAACATGTTTTATTTTAAGTGCCAGCTCACTTGCCATGCAATCAAGCCTATTTCCACTACTCATCCTGAATGCAACTCAAACATTTGATCCATATTAATTCATGCCTCAGATATTTTTAGTTTCAGCACAGCAAAACTGACTTCCTCCTTTAATTTCACTATGCACAGAAAACAGAGTGGAGCTGAAAGGGGATTATACAGATTCTATTCTTCCCATTCTTACTGACCAGATATAGTTTAACCCAGTTGTAACTGTAGAGTAACTACCAGTGGATGCTGTTACTCTAAAGCTACAACTCTGAGGATTCTGCAACCTCACCTGGCATTAAAAATGTTTGTTATGAACTGAGATTTGCTCATTTCCAGACATCTATTCTGGCTCTTTAAACCAAATGCAGCCCAGCATTCAAATTCCTGAGGGATTTTTTAAGCAGAGCCATTCTGTGCCTGCCCTCAGTTTCAAGGGTGGAGTTTCCAGGTAAATTCTGGCACTGGCTGCTCTGTGACAAATGTCAAACCCAAATCAGCCCCAGATCATTGGCTCAGCTTTCTCTGCCCATTTTTGGCTCAGGATCCCCCTTGGACTGAGCTGTCCCTTGGATTTGCTGTTTCCCCCATATGCTGCAGGATGTTTGGGGATCATCAATCTCCAATTTAATTGAGAGTCGGCCCTCCCATGAAATCCTAACAGACAAATAAATCTGCCTTCCCCACTGCTGACATTTAGTGGGTAATGAGGACAAACTCCTTCCTGTTTGCAGTTTGGAGCTGTTCACTCACATCACTTGCCAAAAATGCAAGAAAGCTTTTTGTATTTCAGGGAGAAAAGGCTTTTCCTGGGTTTTCAGCTGCAATATTTGTGAGCAAGAGCTTTGCACTCACCTTTTCAAACCTGTTTGGTTAGGTGGCCACACCCAGAATTTAAACCCTCCAAAGAGCTTTGGTTTTACAGCATTTAAAAAAAAATCTACAAAAGATGAACTTGAAAACCAAAAGCAAGCCAGAATTAAAGATAGAAAAGCAACATAAAGGGAAAAAATGTGGGTTTTTTCCCAGAAGAGAAGAACTACATGACAGCTCCTTGGATTTACTGCCCAATAACAGCACACATTTAAAAGCCATTTTTGGCACATCTATGGAAGTGTCAACAGTGCTTGCAGATATCCAGAAATTTGGTTTTGCACTAAAAATGAAGATACAACATAGAAGTGACTGATAGAAAACAAATACAGAATAAGAGGATGGTTATTTTACATCTTTTAAAATGTGAAGTTCATCTCCTGGATGGAAAATACAGATAACACTTGCATTTTAAAATATTGGGGTGAACACTATTTCCAAATTAGGTGACAAAATTCTGTACTTGGAAAATGTTTCTGTTTCTATGACAGAAACAGAGGAAAATGACCCCAAAAATATAAAAAATTGGAAAAAGAGAACTGCTCACAGCCACACACACTGAAGAGTCACTCCTGATGCTCAAAGCCATGCACAGATTAAAAAACAATTAAAAATGGGGAATGTCCTACAATTTTATTTCAACACAAGCATGGATTTTGCTATTTAGACACTTCATCAGGCCTTGACCACAGGATCTCCAAGACAAGCAAAGCATTTTCATCTTTACAAAAAGCAGCTCTGCTGTGGCATTTGTTCTACTGTTTGATATTTGCTTAATAATTAGGTGAAATCCATGCAGGTATAAATATTGTGGATATCAGCCTTTACAGATATGTTGGCAGAAAAGGAAAAATTTGCTTGAGCTGTTTCAACATCATCACTAAAAATATCTTTTTTCTACAATTTGTTGGTGAAAAGTGACTCAAAAAAAATGAGAAGCTCTTAAATGCAGGAAGGAAATGCAAGTTAGCAATGGAGAGGAGCCTAAAATTGGGCTGCAATGAGAGTTTTGGGGTGTTCTGTTGTTCTTTTGTTACCCACCTCTACAATGTCATCATCAAAGAGCAGCCAGAAGCCGTGGCTCTTCACGATGGTGATGTAGTGCCCACGGTTGGGGCCACTGCAGGAAAAGGAATTGTAAATTTATTATCCAGGAGCCACTGCCCTCCCCAAAACCACCTCTGCTCTCCCAGCTCCACTGCCCAGCTTTTCCCTGGAGAGGCTTTTTGATTTTTGCCAAGTTGCTCCAATTAAAATGTTCAAAACACACGACGCCGTAAATATTTCATATCATCATTCACAGATTTTAAAAACCAAAATTAAAAATATTTCAATCTCTGTTGTGTTGCATTCACCACTGCTGAGTATTTTGACTTAAAATTGAAGTTTTGAATTAAATCAGCTCTGAAGTATTTTATTTCACAGCAGGAATTCCTTTAGTTCTCAGTGTGGTTTAACCTGACTTCTGGGAGAGCTCTTCCCACTTTTCTGGTGGAAATTTCCAATTCACAGAATGGAATCCCTTTGTTTAGGGCAACTAAATAAAACTAAATTTAAACTTCAATTTAAACCTAATTTAAATTTAAACTGAAGTAAAACCCTATGTGCAAAATATTTCAAACAAGTTCTGAGAACTCAAAATATCCAGAAAATCTCATTTTTCTCAAGCCTTTGGTAAATTCCTGGTAAGAACTGAGAGCATGTGAGTTACAGAAATCCTAAAAGCCCCACACAGGATAAAAGGTTTGAGGAAAAAAAGGAAAACCATTTAATAATCTGAATTATTAATCACCATTATCCAAACATGTAAGTGTAAGTACATAAAAACTACCCAAGAAAATGCATTGCATGAGATCCTAAAATGATAAAATTTATATATAACTATAATTGCATAACAAAAATCTAGAATTGAAGTTTATTTATACTAAATCTATGCATTATTAGCATTTTTCTCCTCACAAAGATATTTCAAAGCATGTATGTGCTGTAATAACTGGTTATTTTAAATCTCACACTTCCTGAAGGCAGTTAGAAATATTTTTCCCTTCCATGAGGGCTTTTTCTCCTAAATGCTTAGAAGTTTTTTCCTCTTTGCTTTTAAAAGCAGAACTGAAGCTGCTAAAACTAACATTTAATGAAGAAAATAAGGATATTTTAGAAACCCAGCAGTGCACAATTTATTCCACATGATGGCACCAGCTTCTAAAGAAACTTCAAGGGTTTAGGCAGCAGCAAGATGAAAAATAGAATTTAAATCTATTTCAGTAGGTGTTTTTCCAAGATTTCTTTTCCTTCCATTTAGATTTCCTGGAAAGCAGAGTTAGGGGTGGGGGGTTTTGTTGTTTTGGGGTTTTTTTTAATGATTATTCTTTGCTACAGCTCAAAGAAAGAACTTGTCTGATGTGCCACTGGGCTGATGACACAAAATCACAAATCTGAGCCTGTAAAGTAAAATTTAAAATAGTAAAATGTTGGAACTCTGGATGCTGAGAATTTTTAACTTTCTGTGCTGAAAGGCACAAAGCCACAAGAGAACACTGCAAATCACCTGAGGCTGTGGAGAAAACCTCCAAAACTGATTGATAGCACTGGGATTGTGGGTGTGGAGTTGGTTAGAAATGTGTAACGTCACAGGGTGGAAAACTCAGTTTGGGGTTTTAGAATATAGAAATAAATATGGAGCAAGATGGAGGTTTTAGGGTGGAGGCAGGTTGTTCTTCTTCACCTTCTTCCTTCTTCTTCATGGGTTTGGGTGATGTTTTGTAATTAGACAGAAAAGTCTACATTGCTGACTTTTAGGGATCAGTTATTGGGTTAAAAGGGAAAATAATCCAGGTGTCCTTTCTTAATTGGATAGCTTAGCCTTAAAAGACCTTGTGACAAGAGATTGTTGGCCATTTTTGTGCCTTCTAATGAAAAGCTGCAGAACTCATGGTTGTGAGGCTGTTTTACTGATAAGAAATAATAAACACCTGAATCTGAACATGAGCTACCTCCTCAAGTGCCTTCAATCCAGACCCAGAGAAACCGACAGTAAAAAATTTAAAATAAAACTTAAAATAGCAAAAAACCTAGTAAAAAATACAGTTTTTTAAAAAAAAAATCAAAATACTTCCAGCTAACCATCTCCTGCATTACCAAGCAGTGTTATAAAGCAGCAGAGGGATGAGAGATTCCCTCAGAATTGCAGGGCAAGGCAGGGGATGTGCAGAGGTACCTGCCACAGTGCACCACCACGGCCACCAGGTCGTACATCCTGTCGGGGTTGGTGGCATCCCCCGAGGTGTTGAAGAGCCTCAGCTCCAGGGGGAACACCACCCTGTAGGACAGCTTGGTGTAGCGGTGCAGCTGGTCCATGTACTTGAACCTCTTCAAGTGCAGAGCCAGGATCATGGGCAGCTTCTTCACCCTCATTCTGGAGCACAGGAATGTGGGAAATAAAGGGTAAGGGTTAGCAAATCACTCCAGACAAAGATTTGTTCAAGAATATCTTCCTTATGAGGAAGCGCCATAAAATGAATCTCATATAATCCAAAATATTGATAGTATAAAAAAATCTCTTTTTTCTCTCTTAGTAACAACAGGCAATATTTATTCCAAGTTATTAACAGCACAACTGACATCTGAATGCAAAACAACTGCAGGAAAACATCAATTTTTCACCCATCAGTGGGAAGAAAGAGCTGGAATAAATCTGTCTTGCTGCTCTGGCTGTGACCAAGTCTGAGGGGAGAAATAAGATTTTTTTTTTGTACCCAGTGCTCCCAGACAAAGCAGATGGGATGTTTTCCAGTGGCTTTAAGCTGATTAATGCTAACTGGGGAAAATGTGGATGTCTGGAAAGAGCAGATAGAAACTCTTCAGGGAGAAACACAGAATGAATCTCCTCATGACGAGGCTGCCATTAAGTTACTCAGTCTCTTCACTTCTCCTTCACCCAACACAGACCTAGACAACCTCACCTTTTCTTTGCCTGAATTCACCAGAATTTGCCCAGAAATGTACAGAGAACATCTCCCTCAGGCTGAATGTTTGGCCCTTACCTCTTCTGTGCCTCCTGTTTGCTGCGGCACTGCTCACAATAGTATTTGTATTCACTGCATAGAGTTTCAGTGTTACTAAATCCCCTGTGGAAATCAGAGAGTGGCATAAGCAGGGATATTCCAGAGCATCCAGGCTGAAAATGCTGAAAAAAACCCCCAAACAACACACAGAGGATGAAGCTCCTTTCATTCATGGCGCTCCCAGAGAAATCTGATGTGTATTTGTCTCATTCCTGGGATGCAGCATCAATGTTCAGCTGGAAAAATCTGGAATTTGCACTATTAACTGCCTATTTTCTGGCTAGGAAAGGTAATAAACAGCAAGAAGGTGATTGGATTTTGTCTCCATCAGTAGCCTTTCCATGTTTTCTTTAGTGGCAGAAATTAAATGTTCACATCTCCAGCCATTAAGTAGCAAAGCCTGGATGATCCTTCAGCTTCCAGCAATTAGAGATCCATTATCAGCTATTAAATAGCCAGATGCTGGATGCTAATTAAATATCCAAGCAGCTGATAAGCCTTGGATCCAGCAGACAAACACATGGAGCAAATGTCTACCAGGAAAAACCAAACTGACCCTTAACATCAGGGCCAGGCAACTAAAATTCAATAAGAATATGAAAATAATCAAGAAGTTATTGTGAAACCAAACACTGCATGTTTATTTTTGATAAAGCCTGGCTGTGTGATGTAACAAATTCAAATCTCCACATAAGAAAGTGAAAATCAATCTTATCTACCACTAGTATTTATTAACTACTGAAACCCACTAAGAACCCTTCCAAAACTCACAATATTTTACCTCATGTCAAAGCCTACAGAGAATAACTAATCCAGGCTCTTTCCTTCTGACCAGGGCAGGTATTTTTTCCCTTCCCAAAGAATTCTGTTTACCTTAGACAATGTGTAATTGATGTATTTTGTTCCACATCAACCGAGAGGTCCAGAAAGTCCTCATCTTTGCTACTAACCTTGAAAGAAAATAATAATAAGAGATATTTGGTAACGATTTAAAGCTGGCAGATTTCTTTTATCCAATTCTGGAGTGGTGCAATGTGATTAAAAATAAATGTACACGCACACAAAGAGGCCTTTTCTTGAGGTAAACTACAAGTGATTAAACAGTCTGATGTGATGTTAAAATCTGTAGAGGAGCATTAAAAAAGGCAACAAAAAAACAAATCCAAAAACCCATGGAAAAAAAGCACAAAAACCCAAACACTTCCTCATGAAACATCTCTTCCCCCTTGAGACTTGAAGGCATTTCTGATTATTTCACTGGCAAACCCAGGTTTAACCACTCAGAGCTCTCACAGGAGAGGTTTTAACCACATTCCATTTTCTCTGCAGCCTGCTGCAGCTTTCTGCTGCATTTCAGGGTGTAACAGTCAATACTCAGAGGCAAGGCAGAAACAGGCAGATGGCTCCTCAATTAAATGGGTTAGCAGGGAGGAAAACCATCCTTCCATTTGTGGAACAGTCACATTTCACTGCAAAAACCTTGAGACAGAATCCTATTAATGTCATTTTTAGAGCTTCTCCTCACCACATAGCCATAACTTTAGATTTTAAATGCCAAGAGCAGTCTTTTCTGTTGTAATCACTTCTTGGGTTTTTTATTTCTCTCCCCATCTGGGTTTTCATTTTTTTTTAGCACTATTAAATCAGAGCATATGACAAACTACAAATCTCTGGTCTGAAGGTGCTGTGGTTCTAATTCCAGACTTCATGCCACTTTTGCTCTCAAACAGAGTGGCCAACGACCAGCACCAAGCACAGAATTCCAGTTCAAGCAACTCAGTTCATGCCAGAGTTAAATTAAGAGCAACTCTCATGTAGGAACACAACATAAACTCTCAGCCACTGACACAGGGAATAACATGGGGACAAAAAGGCAGCTTGGGTCAGCCAAGTGCAGCTGCCTCAATGGAAACAGGGAGGAGAAACAGGGAAAACACTGGGCTTTTTCTGGGCAACATACCTTAATGAGCACTGGTTTGAACATAGAGTCCTAAAATAGGCTATGCTCCATATTTTAATAGAGACAGTGCAATTTCATCTACCCTAATGAATGAAAAAGGGTGCTCAGTGTTAGGGAAACCAATCCAGGAGCTGGGAGCAAGCTAAGGAGGAGTGGTTTGGTGGTGCACGTACAGCCTCACAGTTAAGACATCTGGTTTCATTGGTTAGTGTTCCTTGGAAGATTTCATGGACCCACGTCAGATCAGCCTTGTCTCCTTCTTCACTCTCAATGCTGCCATTCTGGAGCTTCCCATTCTGCTTCTCCTGCTTCTTCTCCTCTTGCAGCAAGTCAGCAATAGTGTTCAGTAGGTAGTTCAGGAATTCGTGTGCATCCTGCTGCATGTAATTATCAAATAATTCTGGAAAGGGAGACAGGAGGAGAGTGAACAACTACAGACACTTCCCAACACCAGGTCACTGTGGTTTATTCCCTTCCCTCCTCTCCCCTGTTACACAGCTCTGGTGAGTTTGGGGAGAATTGCACTTTGTTGTTCTCTCAATGATTATCCTCAGGTTGCAAGAAACAAACAGCTGAAAAATATCATTAAGAAAACTTAGCTTGGCCATTTCTTAGAACTGAAAAAACCATGATTGGTTTGGGGCTTTTTGTGGTTTTTTTTTCTTCTTTTCTTTGGAAAGGGAGAGGAATAAAGAAATTCAGATGTGTTGCCTTGGGCCACTGGTTCATTAAATCCAGCACCAAGGGGCAAAAATCCCCTACTGGAAGTTTGTTATCTTTTCAAGTTCAAGCAGAGAGGAGAAATCAACAGCTAGAAATGTCCTCACCAAACAGCCCTGGGAAATAACCAGGAGTTCTGATCCTGAGGAATTCATCCTGCCACAAATGCAAGGGAACAGGCTGTGAGTGGCTGGGTGTTGCATACATCTTTTATAAAGATTTTTCCTTAGGATTCTTCCTCCTGAGAAGCTGAGAGGCCTCAGGAACAAAATGTAAACAATGGTTATCTGCTGCTGTGGAATGCAACAGGTGCATCTGGGATTGGTCTCATAGAGTTGTTTGTAATTAATGGCCAATCACAGTCAGCTGGCTTAAACTCTCTGTCCGAGACAGAAGCTTTTGTTATCATTCCTTTCCTTTCTATTCTTAGCCAGCCTTCTAATGAAACCTTTTCTTCTATTTTTTTAGTATAGTTTTAATGTAATATGTATTATAAAATAATAAATCAGCCTTCTGAAACATGGAGTCAGATCCTCATCTCTTCCCTCATCCTCAGACCCCTGTGAACACTGTCACAGCTGGGTCTCCTGTGAGAGTTCATGAGAGCAAGGACCTGCAGTGTGCTTTGTTCCTCTAGGGAGCACCATGCCAGGGTGGAATATCTGGACATGTGCAAGTCCAGAAACACAGACACTGAGACAGGACAAGCACACAGGTGGTGAACTTCACACCATAAAAATCTCCAAGAAACCTGTCCAAACTTGACAATTTTTACTCAAAAAAAACCCCTGAATTTAACATTTTACATCCTTAAAAACACATTTAAAAACCATTTCCTCATTTACCATTTTCCTTCCTCAAGCGGGAAATAAATTTCTTGGGTGGGATGACCCCCACCTTCTTCTTTTGTGTGGCAATACTGTTGAAGAGATCAGAGAGGCAGGTCAGGAGGCTTTCCTTCTTTCGAGGCTGCACCTTGTAGGCCAAAACCTTTTCCCGAAAGGGCCGACAAAAGTACAGGGCCTGCAAGACGGAGTTGCAGTAGCAGGTATTGCCGAACTGGTCAGAAACAGAACACAGGGAGAACAAAGGCCTTTGCATTAGGGCTGCCAAAAAGGAATCACAGGAAGAGTTCATCAAGAATGTCACACAGTGAAGCTGGAGGAGTCACCTGGCAGAGATCATTTACTGGGGAATACTGGTTGGGATGGGGGAAATACTGGTTGGTGTGGGGGGAAGAAACACTGCTTGGAATTGGGGAAATACTTCTTGTGGGATGGGGGAAACATTGGGGGGAACACTGGTTGTGAATGGGGGGAAACACTGGTTAGGAATGGGGGGAAACACTGGTTAGGAATGGGGGGAAATGCTGCTTGGAGTGAGGGAAACACTGGTTGGAATAGGGGGAAACATTGGTTGGAAGGGGGGGAAGAAACACTGGTTAGAGTGGGGGGGATGGGGGGAACTGCTTGGGATGGGGGGAATGGAGGGAAACATTGGTTGGAGGGAGGGAAACACTAGCTTCAGTGGGGGGAAATACTGGTTGGAATAAGGGGACACACAGGTTGTGGAATGAGGGAACACTGGTTGGGATGAGGGAAACACTGCTTGGAATGGGGGGGGACGGGGGGAAATACTGATTGAAATGGGGCAAACATTGGCTGGGATGGAGGGAAGAAATATTGGTTGGAACATGGGGGAAAATGCTTGGGATGGGGGAAATATTACTTGGAATGGGGGGAAACACTGGTTGAGATGGGGAGGAAACACTGCTTGGAATTGGGGAGGAAACTGCTTGGAATGGGGGAATGGGGGGAAACACTGGTTGGAGTGGGGGAAGAAACACTGCTTGGAATGGGAAAAACTGGCTGGAATGGGGGGAAACACTGCTTGGAGTAAGGGGAAACACTGGTTGGAACGGGGGAAACACTGGCTGGGAATGGGGGAGAAACACTGGCTGGGAATGGGGGAGAAACAGGTTGTGGGATGGGGGAAATGCTGGTTGGAATGGGGGAAATGCTGGTTGGGATAGGGGGAAAAACTGCTTGGGATGGGGGAAAATACTGCTTGGGATGGGGGGAAGGAATGCTGGTTGTGAGATGGGGGAACACTGGTTGGGATGGGGGGAACACTGCCTGGAATGGGGGAAAACACTGCTTGGAGAGGGGAGAAAACACTGCTTAGGATGGGGGAGAAAACACTGCCTGGAATGGGGGAAAATACTGGTTGGAATAAGAGGAAACACTGGTTGGAGTGGGGGGAAATGCTGGTTGGGATGGGGGGAACACTGCTTGGGATGGGGGAAACTGTCTGGAATAGGTGAAACACTGGTTGGGATGGAGGGGAACACTGCTTGGAATGGGGAGAAATGGAGAGAAACACTGGTTGGAGTGGGGGGAAACACTGGTTGTGGGATGGGGAAAACACTGGGTGGAATGGGGGGGAACACTGGTTGTGGGATGAGGGAAATACTGGCTGGAATTAGGGGAAACACTGCTTGGGATGAGGGAAACATTGCTTGGAATGGGGGGAAGAAACACTGGTTGGAATGGGGGGAATGGGGGGAACTGCTTGGGATGGGGGAAGAAACACTGGTTGGAATGGGGGAAACTGGCTGGAATAAGGGGAAACACTGGCTGGGATGGGGGGGAAACACTGGCTGGGATGGGGGGGAAACACTGGCTGGGATGATGGAAACACTGGCTGGGATGATGGAAACACTGGCTGGGATGATGGAAACACTGGCTGGGATGAGGGGAAACACTGGCTGGGATGAGGGGAAACACTGGCTGGGATGAGGGGAAACACTGGCTGGGATGAGGGAAACACTGGCTGGGATGAGGGAAACACTGGCTGGGATGAGGGGAAACACTGGCTGGGATGGGGGGGAAACACTGGCTGGGATGATGGAAACACTGGCTGGGATGATGGAAACACTGGCTGGGATGATGGAAACACTGGCTGGGATGAGGGGAAACACTGGCTGGGATGAGGGGAAACACTGGCTGGGATGAGGGAAACACTGGCTGGGATGAGGGAAACACTGGCTGGGATGAGGGGAAACACTGGCTGGGATGAGGGAAACACTGGCTGGGATGAGGGGAAACACTGGCTGGGATGAGGGGAAACACTGGCTGGGATGAGGGGAAACACTGGCTGGGATGAGGGAAACACTGGCTGGGATGAGGGGAAACACTGGCTGGGATGAGGGAAACACTGGCTGGGATGAGGGGAAACACTGGCTGGGATGAGGGAAACACTGGCTGGGATGAGGGGGAAAGGTTGAGCCTTTGTGACAGCAAGGGAAGGGAGAGGAGACATCACTCACAGGATACTGGGAATAAGTAATAAAGTAATTAAGGGTTCAGCAAAGAATCAAAATTTGTGGAGACACAGCACAACTCATCATCCTGAGAGGGGAGAGGTAGCAAGGACACTAAATAAATAAATAATGAATTACACAGAGTATTTTTAGTTGGGAGGGACCCCTGAGGATCACTGAGTCCAACTCCAAAGTGAACAACCCATAGAGGGATCAAACCCACAGCCTTGGCACTACCACCACCCTGCTCTGACCAACTGAGCCAATCCCAGGGGCAAAACCTATTATAAATTAATAATAAAACCAATATTTCCTGCTCATAACAGAATGTTTTGAGCAGCACATGATGCAGGGCCAGGCACAGAGCAGCTGGTTTGCATCTGGCTTGTGTGCAGGCAGTGTCAGGCACAGATAAGGCCTTACAGAAGCTGCTCCCCCTGGCTGAGCAAGGAGGACACCAGGACATCAGCTTATCACCCACAACCACAAACCATGGCTTCAGAGCTGCTGCTCTGCAATCTACTGGGCTGCTGCTTCAAAAAAGGGACACAAATTCTGGGGTTTCAGTCCCCATATATTCTGGTAATGAGGTTCTGCACCCCAAGAGCAACATACTTTAAATAAACCAAAAAAGCATAAAAATCTGTCTGCAGAGCAGACTGGTTTTAGGTGATACACTGAGACATGGCCACTGTTCACCCAAATTTGGTGTGATCACTGCAGCAGAATGGTTTCAAGGTAATAATCACTGAAACAGAAAATTAACATCTTCATTCATACAGCTCAAAAGACTACAGATTATAGCTCCAGCAACATTGATTTACACCATATGCAAACAACAGGGAACAACATTTAAAACTTATTAACATGAGGAAAATATATCTGGAAACTAAACAAACACATGAATTAGGAGAGAGAATCACTCACATGCTTGTTAGTGACCTAGAAAAACAAAGAATCATCATGCTAAATAAATCTGCACACAACTCAAAACAGGCATCCTAATTCTGAAAGCTTATTTGAACATAGGAGCATCTTAAAATGAAAATTGAGATGAAATTCTGGAATGACACCATTGTTCCATCCCTCTTGGGATTTAGTAAATATACACTATTTTAAGAGTTTCCTACATATTCTGCAGTGGCTTTAGACACAGTTTAACAGAGTCAAGTTGCTTTAGTTCACTGATCAAAAAATTAAATAACTATTTATAAAATATACTATATTATATATATAAAAATATATTCTATTATATGAAATATACTATAATATATAAAATACACTATATTACATTAAATGTACTATACTATAAATAATTCAATAACTACTCAACCCAAAGTTTTGGCCTCCACTGCCCACAAGTTCAACACCTGATTGTATTTGCAGTGCAATGACACATTTAACAGCACTGATGCTGAAGCCATGAAACTGCCCTCCTTAAAATGCTCCCATTAATTCCAAATCATGAAAGAACCAGAAATAACTCCAGAAAAAGCTCAGCAGAACAACAGTGTGAAAACACCACCCTCAAGAAACCAGTTGCACGAAATGCAGCACAACAGTGTTAGTCATGTTTTGTCCTTCAAAACAGAGAATGGATGGGTTCTAATAATTCTGGTTATTTTTAGGATGCTGTTTTTCCTCCTCACTCCATTCAGTGCTCTGCTATTTCTGTCACAGTTCCATTTTTGCCATTATGGTGCAAACCTCAGCAGCTCTGGAATGGCCACCAACACCCCATGAAGGGAACAGAATTCTGGCTGTTTGGATAGCTGGGTGTCTGAAATATAAACTGCTAGAAACCCACACAAAGTCAATTAACTGGGTCTCTAATGAGCTCAATAAATATTGTTTAGTTGGCCTTACTTGGTCTGTGAAGACATGGAGCATCTCCCAGCTCTCAACACAACAGGAATGATTGTTTCTAGTGAGTTCTGCCAAAATTGCATTTTCCCATCATGAATAGGATGCCACAGAACCACTGCTGCTCTGAACTCACCAGGATCACCATCCTCTGCACAGCTCTGCTGCCCCACAGCCACACAAACTGCAAAAATTCAGCTTTTTGGAGGGTTCACGGCTACACCAAAAATCCAGAAGGAGTATTACAACACGAAGGAAATATCCACCCAGTCCGTGTCATTCATCTCCTGCACAAAACTTCCACTCCTCCCACGAGAGGAGTATTTTTAGAACTAAAAAGTAACACATTTTAATTTTAAAGCCTCCCCTGCACTGCAGCATCAGTGGAAAATCTGCTCTAGAACAGCATATGAACAATGGACACACTTTATTATTTCCAATTTTCCAGCTAAATATTAAAATCTTATAAGTAAAAATGTACTGGAGCAGGAAGAGTTCTCTCAGAGACTTTACAAGAAATACATTTATTTTTCTGTGTTTCAGATGAAGTGCTATTTTGGTTAATAAGCACACTGCAGGATGTGGTGTCTGTGCTCAGTCCCACTCCAAGTGAGAAGTTTCATCAATCAAGTTCCTGCTAAGCTCCAAATTAGGATGTGAATTAAAACCCAGCATTTTAAGCATAGAAAATTCACTTACATTGACCAAGCCAAAATAATGCTCATTCACAGGGAACTGCTCAGGACCAATCTCTTTCTCCAAAGCAGAGGCATTGGCGCCCTACAAAAAACAAAATTAATGTTAGAGAAAACAGAAATTTCCTAAAAACCCCCAAAGTTTAGGAAATAATTTATTTCCATTGAAAATCAGTATTTTGTCAGAATTAAATGAATGTGATGCTTTATTATCACAAATGTACCAAGGTATCATTTAAAATCTCAACTCCCTCAGCCAAAATTAGTGATCTGATCTAACAAAAGGGTTTGCTACATTTGAGTTTATTTGGAAATTACCACAATTAACTGTTCTCACTTAAAACACCAGGTTGGCAACAGTGATCTAGAAACAGCAACTTAATTTAGTCAAGAATTCACTGTAAAAATAAAGAAACTTATCCTGTCTTTTTCTAGGTTTATTTTGCAAAATACTATGGATAAATGGAGTTTTTTTTACAAATCCCCAGAAGAATGGAAGGAAGAATTTTATCACAGATCACCTGAAAGTGCTTTGGCTTGGTTACCTTTAATTTCAAGGTGATGTATGAAGCTCACAGTGCATTTTGACACATCCTTGAGTTTCCAGCAGTACAGTGAGGATGGAATTTGCTGTTTTGGATACAACTGAAAACCACCACTGCTCTTATCTGGCACATAAAGCAACAACTAAAGCATTCCAATGTTTTATTTTCAATTTTAACTTGCTCCACTTCATATTCAAAGTGGTCTCTTCATCTCTTTCCATTTTCAATCCACCAGCCCCTTGTGGATGGGAATATCTGGGGTTGGTTCCTTCCCTCATTCCTCTTCACCTTGTTCTTTAATGCCTCTTGCTGATGCTCCAGCATTCCTGAGCTCCTTTGTGCAGAATCCAAACACTTTGGATTCCTAATTCTGTTTTAAATGCCCAAATGACTCCAATTCTAACCTTGCCCAAACAGAAATCCTCCTGCACAGGTGAGCCACCTTCAGACATCTCAGAAAAACATTCAACCAAACATTACAGCGCAGCAAAACTCAATTTATTTCTTCCAAAACTCAATTTATTTATTCCCCTGAAGCTACCAATGCTTTTCAATTCCTGAGCAAACATTTCCATCCTCTCCCTATTAATATAAACCACAAGCAGAGACTGTAAGGACAGCTCCATCCAGATTGTTTTTAACAGAGAAACAACTCAAAATTTTCTAAAAACCAGGAGAGAAACTAAGAAACAATCAGGTTTAACAGCTGTAGTTGGATGTCCCCCATCAGATTTATAGTGAGTTTCATTTCTCAGAGCAGATAAAATGAGGCAGGCTCAGAACTGGGAACTCCAAACCCCAGCAAACACTCACAGGGTGCTGACAGATTTACAAGCAGAGCTCTGCTCCAGCAGCAATTACACACAACATTTCTGAGGCATCAGTGCCACTGCAGGCAGCTCCTTTCATTTGTTTCCTTGCAGTCATTCCCTGCTTCTCTTTTTCCTCCAATATTTCCCCTCAATAAAATCCAAATCCAACCTAAAATAAAAGGAGAACCATCAGCAAGGAGGATTTGCTGCCAGGGGTCTGTCCTGGGCTACCTCAGCTCTTCACTGCTCTGATCCACACTGCCTTTGGGAAATGCTGTAAAATTCAAAATTCAACATTTCCAAAATTCATGGAAATGCACAGGAGGGGAAAATTCTGGAATTTTTAGCCTGGAAATCAGAACTGGCTCCTGCTGAGGTTGTTTTGCTCTTCCATGCTGCATGTTTGGAGATTAGGAAAGGAGGATTTGTAAACCCTGTGAGCTTGTGAAGTTCAGTTTCAATTTCTCAGGAGGTTCCTCCCCCTCTCCATGATCTCCAGTATTTTATCAGGGAAACACTGGAGAAAAGCCCATTAAAGGAGGTACCAAACCTCCAAAACCAGTGAAATCTGACAGCCCAAATGCTCCAGCTGGAAAGCAACATATAGAATAAATATCTGAACAAATAAATGAAAACATAAGAATGGTTTTATTCAAAATGTACTTTTGAATAAAGCTATGAGATAAAGAACTGAATAACCTACCATAAACCAGGGCTGTTAACCAAACCACCAACCTGTATCCATTTAACCTGACAGGTTACAGGTGAGTTTTTTTCCAAGTGTTTCCTTGTGTTTATAAACTTTCCCAAAGTTTATAAATTTGGGTAAATTAACTGCAGAGGCAGATTAAAAATCAAGGTTTCCTTAATAAATTACATTATATTTAATGTATCATTTCCAACTGAAGTGGTAGATGCCTCATCCCTGGGAGTGTTCAAGGCCACGCTGGAACACTCTGGGACAGTGGAAGGTGTCCCTGCCCCTGGAATGGGATGAGCTTTGAGGTCCCTTCCAACCCAAATCATTCTGGGATTCTGAGATGATTCTAAAGTTTCTTGCCAGAGAATATTTTAAATTCATAAAATAACCAAAACAGGACTCAAAGGACTTGTGGGAGGAATAAAAAAAAAAAAAAATCAGAGATGAATCATAAATAGCTCTGAAGATGCAAACTTGCAAATTAAGCAGTGAAAAAGTTCCAGGAAATGCAATGCCCAGTGTTCCATGGAAAAAGAACTCCCCTGCAGCAGCACAGATGATTCACCACAGAGTCAATGGCCAGGAGAACTGAACAAGGACATGGGGAAATTCACTTGATGTGAGGGCACCACTTGGCCCCAGTCATGTTTTGGGGTAAGGTCCAGAAGTGCAGGCAAAGTCCAGCTCCTCCCAACCAGGGATCCCTGCAACTCAATTAACAATTACCAATTAACCCAGTGCACTGAAACCTGCTCCAGCCTGAGCCATGTCCTGCTGCAATGAGGCTTTGCTGTCACCCTGACAGGTGTCACATCCCTCTGCCCACCCAGGTAAAAGATTTTTCCATCTTTTAGCTGTGAAACAATCCCCACTTCGTCATTTTGGAAATATAAAAGTCACACCTTGTCCAGAATTAAAAATCTAACCAAAGTGGCAAGTGCATATAATATGAAAATTTATTTTGTTATTTGGGGAATTAATTAAATTCTCCTCTTTGGGGTGCCACAGTCAAAGTGTTCTGCATCTTGTGGTACTTTGCACACCTAAAACCATCAGAAAATCAATAGAGTTTTGCTAAACTATGTCACATATTGTGGGAGCAACAAGAAATGTAATGAAAAAATCCCTCATCCATAGCAATAGAGTCTGTTTGGCATACAACAGTTAAGTAAAAACACTAAAAACTAAAATACAGCTGAATATAAAGATTTATGACTTCTCCCTGCTAGTGCAAGGCAAATAAATGAATGTTTTAACAACCCCAGAGTACATCCCTGACTTGTGGGAGGTGCAAGGAAATGCTCTCAAGTTGCTGCTCTGCTTCAGGACCATCAAACTCAGCTCTGTGAGCAGGAATAAACCCAAATTTCTGCAACACACAATTACCCCAGGAGGAAAACTTCTCATTTAACCATGTGGTAATAGTGATTGACTTACATAATGAGATGTGGATTTAGCGTTCCACAGTGCTGGGGGAGGTGACAAAGGAAGTTTCAGCACTTGTAAGAAGAATTTTCCATTTTCTAGAAATTCCTGGACTTCCAATGTTGTCTCAGAGCTCCCCTTCTCTGCTCACAGCCCACTCACAGAACTGGCTGTGCTTCCACAGCTCTGCAATTATCAGTCAAACAGGAAAATGAAAAACTGCCTGGCCCATCACCACCTCAGCAGGAATACACACAGCTACAAATGGCCAAGAAAACCCCCAAAGAACAACAATAAAATATTTCCTGTCACAGCTGAAGTCATTCCACTTTATGCATATCACCTAATTAGAAGAAGGTGATGAACACTTCCATGAACATTTCATGGCTGAAAAGACAAAGAACACCCTTAAAAAATCCAATATACCAAATATTGAAGCACAAGGAATTGGTAATATTCAAGTTTTCCTCACTTTTTCATACCAGCACAGTGAGGGACATCACACCAATATCCTGATTTAAAAGTGCAAGAAAAGGCTGGGTGTGGCACTCAGTGCTCTGGGCTGGTGACAAGGTGGGGATTGTCATTTTGGGCTCGATGATCCTGGAGGTATTTTCCAACCTCGTGGATTCTGGGATTCTATTCCATGCTCAGAGCTGGATAAGACACAGAGATAACAGCATTAAGGCAAACTAATATCTACCCAGAGAACACTCAAGACAAGTTTTGTTGAATTTTCTAAGGAAAGGGATGTGAAAGGAGCAGTTTCAAACCCCCTTACCTGAGGGAGCTAACCAAGACATGCTGAGGCAGGGATCCCACAGTATTCCTGAAATTTTAACTGAAAAACCCATCAAATCCAGAAGAGAGATCAACTCCTCCAGCCTGTAAGCTCTGAGTGATTTTTGCTCACTAGAGAAGTCTTGAAGATTTATTTGCAGTTCAATGCACCATGCAAGTGGAATAAATAGTAGTAGACTTTTGTTTCTTAGCCACTGCAGCACCAAAAGGAGATCACAGAGAAGGATAATGAGGCATTATTGCCTCTTCTTAGCAAAAAAAAAAAAAAAAAAAAATCCTATTCCTGCAAAGAAAATGAGCATTTTGCATAGCCTAGATTTAATTGATTTCAGAAATGTATCAAACAACAGGAGTTTCACTACTTGGTGACCTTAAACTTATTGGATTTGTAATTATTCTTACAGACAAAAGCTCACAGATTGCATTCACTTATCTGACAGGAATCAGAGGAGTGCTCACTTTTGTCTGTATTATATTTAATTATCTTTATGGCAGAAATTGCAATCAGGCTCTGAGTTGAGGAGTTTTGGTGAAGCTGTGGATGATAAAAGCTGGGAGTGATTATGAACAACCCCAGAGCTCAGAACAGGAGTTGCTGTCAGCTGAGAATTCCACATTTCCAGCATCCTCATGGCTCCTGCTTCAAGTTACAACCTCTCTCCTCTTCAGCAATATGAGTTTCACTGAAATCCTGACCCACCACAAACCCTGGCTGACAATCAGTGCACTGTTATTACAAACTACCCATGTTTTTACCCTGAATTCACACTTTCCCACTTGGCTGGAATCCCCATTTCCATTC